CTTCCCCCCCCCCCCCGGTGCTCGGTACCTTACGACCCTGGGTTGGGGCGAAACCCCCGGGGGGGCTTGGCGGGATGCGACTAGCCTATGCGCGTGGAAGCACGTTATAACCCCTGTGACGACGAGATCTCGGCCGTCCAACCCTCTCGGCTTGGCGCTGTGACCAACCACCGACCATCCGATGATCAAAAACAATCCAATCCGGTTGAAACTTCTTTCGCTCTTATCCACCGACGAACGAAGACCCAACGCCTTCGAAATCCTTCGGAAAACTTCGCACGCTGACCACGATGATCCGAAAATATCGAACCCGCTTGAAGTCGTTTCTCTCTCTCTCTCTCTCTCTCTCTCTCTTCTCCCTCTCCCTCGCAGGTACACCAAGGTGGCCGTGGGCCTCTACTACGTGGCGGCGGCGGGGTCAACCGTGGGGCTCCTGATGGGGTACAAGTTCGCGCGCTTCACGTGGCACATCCACGACTTCGTCATCGGCCACCTCCTCTTCATCATCCTCTTCCTGCTGTCGGCTTTGAAGTTCCCCAGCTTGGTGCAGGTATGTGTGGCTTCGTGTTTATTTTTGTTGGCAGTATCGACCGCACCAATCGAGTGACCAATGAAAAGACGTCAGTCGCAATTCGGTTGAAAACACCAAATGCTTGTACTGGAGGGCATGGTTTTTGTTGATAGCATTTACCTCGCTGACCGGCTGGGCAGTGAATAGACGTGAGTCTCAATTCGGTTGAAAACACCAAATGCGTCGAAAGGCCATGGTTTGGGCCCCCGTGAGTGCTTGTATCTGTGTGTGTTTACCCCGTACTTCGTTTTCCGGCTTTTGGTCAACCTTCCAAAATCTAGCTCAGTACTGTAAGACCTCTTCATGATCTCAATGTGTATGCTGAGCGGCTAGTACGGAGCGTGAATTGTCAAAGATATTTAGCCTAGAGCCATTTGTGGTTGCCCTGTCCACGCCGTCTTGTAGATGGAGTGAATAGTATCCCAACCCCACCAAGTGGCATACCATCTCTCAACCCAACCCGCCGACGTATCCCGTCCACCCCCCCTCCTCCCCCCTTTCCACGCACACACACGCCGCCAGACGTGGCTCTTGTTCCACAACGCTCTGTCGGAGGGTGTGGTTATTGACGACATCCTCAAGTACGCTCGCATGAACAAGGAGCTTGCCGGTGTGGACGAAGACTCCCTCGAATCCAGCTCGGAGTTGAAGAAGATCGTGGAGGCCCAGGCGGCCGAGCTCGAGCTTCTCAAGCAGAGGGTGAGAGAAGGAAGGAAGCGGGAGAGATGAAGGGGGAGGTGGCGGAGAGAGAGAGAAAAAGTTTTACATGTTCTGCGAGAGAGAGTTTCAAATGTTCTGCAAGTAGCATTGACCGTCCGCGCTCTCCGTCTCGCCAATGAAGAGACCGTCAGCCTTAATGCAGGGGGAAAGAAACTCTTGCTCGTCCGCATTAGTGTATTTATTCGTTGGTGTGACTCGCAGACTGATTTACGTGTTCCCTTGTGGTCCAAACAGATCATGTCGGGGGGAGGAGGAGCGTTCATTGGCATCAACGGCAGCCCGCACCAGCAACAGCAGGGAGGCAGCGGCGGCGGCGGCGTTGGAGCCGGCAACGAGGAGTGCATGGCTGGGTCGGTCTACTCGACGGATTCGGGCGGCTACAGCTACATGATGCAGCCTCTGGGAGGAGACGGGCCTGATGCGGTTCCCAACCGGGTGAGGAGACACATTCGGCAACAAGCGCCCTTCTACTCTTGATTTTTTTTGAAGCGCAAAGCCTGGGCAACACTGCTGCTGTGTGCGCTCAAGTCCCTGTCTTGTGGAAATCATGGAGGCCAAGCTCTAAGTGAAGACTGTTTCCGGTTCCTCACGTGGCGGATGATGCGTTCCGTGGTACATACCGTTAGAAACGTCCGGGGAATATACGATCATGTTCCTGTTTTCAACGGTGGCACTTTTGTACGTGTACTGCGACGGTGGCGCCTAAATTTTCGATCTTCGAACTCAAGTACGCTTTTTTACTCTTTCAGCATGCTCTACATCAAGGCCGCTGAATGCGCAGAGATCCTTTTGCGTACTCCCACTCCCATTTTTGCCGCCCTTTCAAATCCCAAGATGGGCTCGACTCCCACCCTCCTCTCTGTCGCTTGTTCTTGATACAGGTCCAATGGCGGTCAGGGCGGTCAGGACGTTGACCGCGCCCAACTTGTACCTTCTTTTTTTCGTCTCTCTGGTTCTTGTGTCGACACCTGCCAATGTTTGCTTTGATTTTTTTCGTTTCTGTGTTCAGGCGGAGATGATGCACCCCAGCAACAGCTCCCTCAACTTGGCGGACATGGCCAACGCTAGGGCTTCAACCACGGAGCCTCCCCCGAGCCAAGCCTTCCAGTTCAGCTCTCCCGTGTCTATGCCGCCCCGCTAGAGGGAGTCTGAAGGCCATGCGCCGCACGTAGCGCTCGCTGAGTATCTTGGGGCACTTGTTGAGGACGGGCGAGGTGTGGTCGTTATCAGCGGAGAGCGGTGTCGCAGAAACAGGGGCAGGTAGTTCACGTTTGGACGACGACGAAGAGAAAGCGGGGCGTTTTTTGTTTGTTCGCGTTTTGATGGATGTGTTGTCTAGAAGAAGCGAGGTGAAAGAGGGGCACAAAGAGTTGACCGTTGATGCCCCCCCCCAAAAAAAAAAAAAAAAAAACCTCCCCCCGCGCGCGTCTAAGCGTCGCGTTCGTCCGTGCAGCTAGCTCACTCGGCATGGGTAGAGGAAAGAAAAAGTGGGCGTTAAGGCGAGAGAGGTTTTTGGTAGGTGGGGTTGCGTACCGTGCATGTGTCGACGAAAAGAGCTGATCGTTTCCGGTTCTTCGTTTTCCCACGGCAACCAACCCCGGCTGATGACGTTGATGTTTAGAAAGGGTAAGAGCGGTGGCACCGTGGAGAGACGGCTATTGTTGTTTTTCATGCATATCATAGAGAGGGTGGCGAGGGGGGGGGGGGGGGGNNGGGGGGGGGGGGGGGGGGGGGGGGGGGGGGTACTTGTCTCGTCTGGTTTGGCGGTGGAGCGGGCGAAGATCCCGTCGTGATATACCAGCCAGGGCTTGAGAGAATAGACGGGTTCTATTTTCTTGGATGTTGTTTTGCTTGTTCGAGCAGAGGGGCAACCGGGAACCCCTGTGAAACGTTATCATCCCACCAACAGGTGCGTGCGCGTATAGTTGATATTGGCAAGGTTTCAGGCGCTTGGCGGCCTCGGCTACAGGAGTCTGGTACGAGGAGGGGGGTTTCATCCCGCGGGGCCCCCGCGAGATGGAAAGAGCGACAATGGCTCGTGGGAGTGGAGTCTTGTGTGCACTGCTGTGCTCGTGGAGTTCGCGCAACGGTGTCCATCGCAATCGTTCTTGTTTTATCCCGTTGAGGTTGGCGGCCACTCTCGTTGTGGGGCTTCCCGTTAAGTTTGGTTTCGCCCTTTCGGGTTTTACCTGAGTTTGACATGGCAGTTGTTGATGTGGATGGATTGGGGTAGGAAGTGGAACATAGTTAGACCAATAGTAGACATTAGCGTTACATTTATTGCATTGACATGTAGCTGTTGTCAGACGACGTCCATAGGTGAACTGTACTTTCACTGTAGTGGTGAGAGCCATGACGGTGTAGTGGGCTATGGGAAGTGGTTCGGCTTGGCCGGGTGGCTTGGTGGACAATTGGTTTTGGACAGGCGGAAGAGGCGTCGGGGATGCGTTGCTGTTGTTGTTGGCGGCAGCTTGCTATAACTACGTCGCGCGTTCCTTCCACCACAACTCGGCCTCTGGTGTCGGTAACAACTTTGGCATCTGCACACACGCTGCGTAAAAGTAGTCCTGGTGCATTATTATCGTCCTATGGGTGTCGTCGAGGTGGCCGATTCGAATCTCACGCGGTGTCGCCTGACGCGGACCGTTTGACTGGACAAGAGAAAATTTTGCATGGCGTTTTGTTCGCCGGCATTTTTTGCTTTTTTGCTCTGCACGTGAATGCGGCGTTTGTGCTGTGTTTCGTCACGTGGACCTGAAAAACGACTTATTGGTTTCGTCACAACTACCCGTGTTGCTCGCCAACCCCCCCCTCGATTGGAACCTAAGTTGCGGCTTGCCACGCCGCAGCTTGCACCAACCGCAGTCCGCCATGGGACTTCGCGCACGCAACCAGCCGAGATCCACCCGAAAGCCGTTCGTCGCGCACGCGGACCCTTGCCTGACCTTCAGTGGCGCGCCTACATAGAGTAACACCTCCTTGGACTCTACCACCGAGGGAGGGTCCGTTCGCCTCATCGGCGGAGAGGGCGCAGTCTGCTGTTGTTGCTGCTGGTATATCAAGGACCGTGGCATGTTCTCCATTTGATTCCCGTCATGTACATACAGTGCATGCGTGCCGCCATTCACGGAAACCCTTTCGTTCGAACCAGCAGTCAGCTGGAATGAACCAAGCTTCGGGTGGACATACAGCACAGCTGGAATGAACCAAGCCTTGGGTGGACATACAGCACAGCGGTGGATGACTGCGAAAAAAAAGCTTTTCACAAAGAAAGCAGCTATCACAACAACCCTTCAAATGAAAGTCACTGGCGGCGTGCACTTTTTCCAGCTGATTTTTTCAACCATGTTATAGTCCGTTCACGCGTTTGTTCCATGCATGGCAGACGTGAACTATGGAGGATTCCTCACCCAAGGCCGGCGACATGGAGGACCAGCCCTCCCAACCAGGAATTAAATCCGACTTTTAAGCCAGCTTGTTGTCATTAAGGGGTATTGTTATCAGGCCGAAAAAGTACGTTACTTTTTTCACCGAATAGTAACTTTTTTCACGGAACCGTAACTAGGGTTTCCGGTGGTTCTTATCGGCAGAAGGCGCGAAGGCGCGTATTTTTTCAAAATTTACGGAAAGCGCCACGGCTCGACGTACACACACCGGTCCCGACCAGGCGAGAGACCCGAAGACTCCCACAACAGACTTGATAAACCCACACCAAGAACAACAACGCCGCTGCCATAAAAACCGCACTCGCCGATATTGAGCCACTGCTGGGAAATGTTGGCGGATCGGAAAAATCAGGGTGGTCCAAAAAAAAAGAGGAACACGCTTGCAAGACTGCTGAACACGACAGCAAAGCTTCTGGCCTCGCCCTCCACAAGGAAATGACCGAGTCCCACGCCGAATTCTCGAAGAAAACTGTGGAGGAGGAGAAAGAAAAAGGAGAGGGTTAACAGACGAGAGTTAGATTCCTGCGCAAAATGTTGGCCGGCATCGAGAAGGAAATGTTTGGCGACGAATAACACCCACATACACTCCCGGAAAAGTATTACCGTGCAATCGTCGAATTTTTTNTCCCACGCCGAATTCTCGAAGAAAACTGTGGAGGAGGAGAAAGAAAAAGGAGAGGGTTAACAGACGAGAGTTAGATTCCTGCGCAAAATGTTGGCCGGCATCGAGAAGGAAATGTTTGGCGACGAATAACACCCACATACACTCCCGGAAAAGTATTACCGTGCAATCGTCGAATTTTTTGCATGCGTGACGGGGGGGGGGCGGGGGGGAGTTTTATTTTCATCGTTGGGCATGGTTGAGTCAACGTCTTCGTTTCGTCGCAGCATAGAGGACACGTGCGCTCCGCAGAGACGTGTGGGTTGTTTGGTTGGCAACAACACTTTGAGAGGATGCCTTGCGGCAGCAAAGGAGTATCAACGAAAAACTACGGTGAAAGAACGCCGAGACCGTTGTGGTTCACGGGCAAGTTGCTGTGCCTGTAATCAACGAACACGAGAGCGCGTTTTCTGTTTTTCTCTCCCTGCTGCAGGGTTGAGTCAACGTCTTCGTCTTTTCGTAGCATCATTTTTTTTAGGATACGTGCGTCTCCGCAGAGACGTGTAGGTTGTTTGGTTGGCAACAACACTTTGAGAGGATGCCTTGCGGCAACAGAGGAGTATCAAGCAAGGATAACATGGTTGAAGAACGCCGAAGACATTGCTGTCTTGCGGGTAACCTGCCGTGCCGGCAATCTGCGGACATGCATATCGTTTGGTGTTTTCCTATTTGCAAGACTTGTTCTTGCAACCCAATACTACGTTGGGTGTTGACGGGAACTCTGAGGCACGCTTGGGTTCCGCAAATTTGGAGCCTTGCAATTTTTCCGTCTCCGCGCATGCTCACTTGAAGAGCAGGAATGTGTTCGCGATGGGATTCGACAAGACCCCGATTTTTAGCGTGTGTGTGGGTCTCCTTCAGGTCAGCAACCTGGAGCCANGCCGTGCCGGCAATCTGCGGACATGCATATCGTTTGGTGTTTTCCTATTCGCAAGACTTGTTCTTGCAACCCAATAGTACGTTGGGTGTTGACGGGAACTCTGAGGCACGCTTGGGTTCCGCAAATTTGGAGCCTTGCAATTTTCCCGTCTCCGCGCATGCTCACTTGAAGAGCAGGAATGTGTTCGCGATGGGATTCGACAAGACCCCGATTTTTAGCGTGTGTGTGGGTCTCCTTCAGGTCAGCAACCTGGAGCCATGTTTCACCCACGCGACGAATATTTAATGAAGGGATGCAGAGACATCATTAAAAGTTGTATCAACGACAACAAACAACGTTTTCGATTCACACGCTCCTAATTGAGAAAAAAAAAAGTCGATCATGCCCACAGTTTTAATGCCCTAGGTGAAACAAGCACCCTCCGAGACCTACCGGACCCCGCTTTCATCCGCACACGATGCATGTTAACCATAAAGTGTTGCCGGCATGAACAAACACATTACGAACCAAGTGTACCCGGACACATCTGGTCAGAACGCTCCACACCGACACCCACAAAACATGTCAGCGAGAATTAACATGTCACACATCACCCCCCCCACCTCTCCCCGGGATACGCCGACACCCTAGCACTAACACCCAACACGTTGTTCCGGCGCCCTCCGCCCTCTACATTGAGGTACCTCCCTCCCGCGCCCCTCCCTCCCGC